ATAAGTGGCTCAGACTTAAAACTAAGAACAAGGAAAAAAAGTTTTTTCTCAGTTGTCTTCAGTTTCGAATTGCGATGAACTTCCAAGAAACACAACGGTGGGAGCCAAAAGATGGTAACAAAACTGTGTCAAAACAACGGCCTCTTGTTTGGCAGCTTTCTGCTGCCCATTGTCACAAGACGAGTTGTGGTACTGTCCCCTAGGCCGCCGGATAAAGCCGGAGTTACTTGGGCCGAAATCCTAATAATCAGCACTGCATATAAATAGAATAAAAAATTGAGAGAACCCTTTCATCTTGCTTTTGAAGAGAAGGGGCAGCTTCGTACCCCGTCTAATAGGGAAATATTTCATATTATCGATAATCAAAAGATAGAAGAATAAGATGAAAGAGATGAAAGGAGAAGGAGAAGTGAGAACGCACCGTCTGGATCAAAGAGGCAGTGGAACCTTAGTATTATGACGGTCCTGCTTTTAGGCATGGAATTCAGACTTCGCACTATACTCCTCATCTACTGAGACGCATAACTAACATCGTCGCGGGCGGTGTGAAACTGTACTAACACCACCCGACAGCGTTTTCGCAGCAAAGTGAACTGTTCAGGAAGAAAACAAGCAATGGCAGAACGACGCAGATGGGACTTTTCCATGCCTTCTGACACCGCCCCGACAGATTGCCACGATATCCATACTTATAACGCTCTGTAGTGCCAATGGTGTGTTCACCTTCGTTGAGTAAAAGGTCAAAGCTGGCTAAATCGCGAAGGAATGGTTTGTTTTCAGGGGGACTTCTTTATTGGGGCTCATGGGATGCGCTGAAGCTAGCCTAGTATGCATGACGATTTGACCGGGTAACTTGCAAATAAGAACTTCGAGGGACTTTCAGGTCCTGAAAGCGACGCTCTGTCTGAAACCTTGACCAATGAAGCGGTTCCGCCAATAACAAGCTTAGTCAGCTTCAAAGGATACTATAGTATTTCTGCATTGTATGGCATACAATATGGTGTGAATAAAAGGTATAAAGGTAACCTTATATGTAACGTTGTTGGCACTGAGCTCTCTTCCAACAAAAGCTGGCATTTGTGCTTCAGGAATGTCATTAACAGGTTAGCTCCTGAGGCGTCCACATTTTCATAGTCGTATCTGACATAAAAGATTATTGAAGAATACTGAATCGTTCAGGATAAGTAATCACCTTGTGAAAACATTTCGCCCATAACGTGTCCATAGCTCTTTCACAATATCCTCCACCGAAAGCTTTTTCTCGGCCAAAATTTGCAACCATGCCAACATCGCCCATACACCATCTTTTTCTCTAAAATCCAAATATGACCGTGATCTAAAAAAAGGGAAGTTTGAAGTCACCTTATATGATCGCTACCAGTTCCAAAGGACTCTTCACCGCACAGATATATACGACCAGCATCCATCAAGTTTCCGAAGTACTTCCATCCAGTTGGTGTTTACGAAAACCTAGGAAAAACAGGCGAAATAGTAAAACGTACCTATAAACGAAGAAATTCTAGAAGAACGTCTATGGTTTGAGTCACTCAACGTGAGGGAACTCGCCGCCTATGTTCTTGCAAGTGGCATTATCTTGTTATTCTGTCAGATAACCGGGGAAGTGTCAAACATATAGCAAGCAACAGCTCGAAATAACCAGTTGTTATTATTCGAAAGTATCTTCCAACAGTTGTTTCCTGCTGTATGATGTCGGGTGTGCCCAGGAGGATGGTTTTAGTGCGGAGGCAGTCGCACGAATTGTTTTCGTTTATTCGTTGCCTTCTTTCGTTTATGGTACAGTTTTCGTAGGGTAAATTAAATCTAAAAATATAAAACGATTCCACACGAGTCGCTGCCCTTCAGTTGAAAAAAATGACACACAGTTTGATTTTCCGCGCTTTCGCTGCGTGATGCCCACATCGAAAATCTCCCGCGCTCGTTGCCAGACGATGCGCCGCTGCGACGGCAGGCAAATGACGATTCTTTTGTCGGACTCCCTCCAGCAACTGGCGAAGAATGGGCTGGCTGCATGCCAAACGCAGCCCTGCTGACGATTGTGTGACATCTAATCCGTTCTATGCGGCGAGAGTGCAAATCTCCCCTAGCTGTCGGTACTCTCTCGTTCTCTCGCACTCGGATCGACTGAACGGTAATCGCGGGTTTCTTTTTCAAATCCTTGGATTCACTAGTGGGAGCATAAGGTGCTACAGTCAACCTGTTGACTTTTGGGGAGGTCAACAAAGGCTTAAGAGTTTTTTAAGTTCACGGAGATTGCTCCCCACTTTCTTTCCTTATTGTTCACTGAGTCGGGATCTTTTGATGAATAAAAATGTGTCTTGTTTTTTTTTCCGGAACTCATCGATGCACAACCCCTCCTTGATTTCGCCAGAAGCCACAGCGGGAAGGAATTAGAAAAAAAAACGATTTTCCCAAGTTTTGACATTTGAGTTCTTTTTCCTCAGTAGTGTTCACATGATTATCCAGGTGAAGTGTTTCGATACCCATGATGACTTCAATCACTTCATTTTGGTCAAGTATTACACTGCCCTTAAGTGCAGAAGCGTGCTAATGTCTAAGGTTATCTTCGTTTACTACTACAAGCTTAGCCTCCACCAATATCACCCTCAATATCACCCTGCTCACGTTGAAAGCAGGCTGTTCTTCAAGTTGATGAGTCCCTCTGCCTGACCGCAGCATGCTCTCCCGTCTGCGTCTGGCCTCGAGAACGAGACGCAGAGAAAAAAACGGATTAATTGTCCTAATACCCCCGTGCTGACACGTATCATCATCCGCAGCGAACAAGACTGTAACTTGGAGCGGTGAACAGTAAACGGCCACACCGAATCGATAACAAATAGGTTGGTTTCAGAACACATTTCGCAAGAAAGGTGCCTATCCGAATCACTTCTCGCATTTGCACGTCTTTTCTTTACTCTTAATCCTATCTTGTGCACTTTAGAACAAAAAATATAGGGGCTCACATGAGAGCTGGGCACTATGCACCCTTTGTAACTCCACTGTTGTCACAACGAGACCAAATAACTACCGAAATTAGCCTCAGGGGTAGAACTAGCTAGGACAGGTGTAGTTTAACTCCTTGAACGGAAATGTCGCAACAGCACGGTGCGAACCCACCCTCTCTAAGTTCAGGTCTACAGCGAATCTAGTGGTTTCAGGGTTTTTGCGCGGGCGCAGTGGTCGATAGATATGAATGTGGAACTGCCTAGAGAGTCGAACTCTCTCAGGAGACAAATTTTAAGACAAGTTTACTTCCAGAGACATACCCAAGAGAAAAATTCTGGCCCGAAATTCAAATTGGTGTCGTAAAAGGTGAACAACTTCTGCAGATATTTCTATGATACTCAGATATGTCTCATGTTTACGAAAGTAGGACAGAATCCTACTATATATAATCCGCTAAGTTTGTCTGTTGGTGTGAGTGTGTGTGTATGTCTGTATGTGTGTTTGACCGGAAATTCATAACTTCCTTCAAAATAGCGATAAAGCGCTCAAACTGATAAGTGATGTAGGGGGTCGGGCAGGAACACTATTGGTGGGTGGCAGGAAGTGATAAGAGCTGATAAGATAACATAAGGAGCCTTAGAAGGGAAGGGCCACTAAATTCATAGCGCGGCACAGCAACTGTAGAACATCCAAAAAGATGGGGAACAGGATGGGAATATTATTGGTGGGTGTCAGGAAGTGATAACAGCTGATAAGATACCATAAAGGGCCCTAGGAAGGGATAGTCAAACTTCATAACGTGCGTCGCAGCGACGGTAGGACGTTGGTTGCAAGCAGTTATATAGGAGGCAGGAGGGGAACGGTTGGTCAGAGAAGGCCCCCAAATCAATGAACCAAGACTCAGTGAGTCAAGATGTTCCTATCCCTCAGCGATATAGAAAGTGATTCGACCGCTAAATTCTGGGGTTTCACCAAAGAAATAAAAGCCTAAAGATGTCTGTCAGTGGTGAAAGATAAGAGCCACCAGCACATGGACACGTGAAAGCTGCTCAACGGATGATATAAGCAGCTTTCACAGAGATATCGATATGTTACGACCGAAAATCTTTCAACCGCTAAACCGTCCTATTTCCAGCGAATGATGGGTGTTCTCATAAATTTGATAGCATCAGACATTGGCAAACGTCCATAAAAGAAGAAATATGATTAAATGGGCCGTACATGGGAATTGTGCCAAGTGTTATGGTCAGCACAGAAATCCAGTACCATAGGTTTGATCATGCGCGCAGTAGTGCGCGTCAGCCAAACTTAGACAGATATGTGAAAGCAGTAACGGAATCACTGGGATGTAAGGACATTCCACTATAATTTCGACATTGCAGCCATCGGAACTATTTCTAATGCTAAGCTGTCTATCCCAACAAACGGTAGGTGTTTTTAGAAATGTGATAAGCACCGACATTGGCAATCCTGTCAGTGATCAGTAACATAGGTTTAGTCCATGCGCGCAGTAGTGTGCGTCAGCCAAACTGGCGACAAATAATGACGACAACCAACCTCCAGCCCTTTAGCTTTGGCAACTAGATCGACAGCACCAGCTGTAGGCATGGATCGTGCAAAGCCTTAAAGAAACTTTTGTTCACACATTGCGGATGTGTTGGGGGTATGAGCAAATGAAGAACTTACCGGCGACTTTTTTGGACTGGAAGTAGGGAATGCAGCCTAGATTGTCAGCAATCACAGCAAGGGAATCGCTTGGTGTTACGAAAAATCCATTCTTCCCTAGGATCATGTTGCGGTCCTAAAAAAACTAGTTGACCATTTTTGAAGACGATGGCTGGCAAAAATGGTCGATAATGAGTAAACTTACTCCATCGCCATCGAAAGCCGCTCCAAAGTCGTGTTCTCCCTTCCTCAGCTGCTCCACTAACGTTCTGGCGTACGTTAGATTAGGATCGGGATGGCCACCTCCAAAGTCTGGTTTAGGATTCGTTCTAAAAACAGGAAGTAGTTGAAATTTCAACACATTAGGTTGGTATTAAGCACAGTCTGTACTGATAGGGCACCACTATCGCATCCACTTATGCTAACCTAACAATCGAGCGAGCGGAAGATGGTACTAACACGTTCGAACGAAGGAGACGTGTCATTGACCAAGCGAGATAACAAGTAAAAAACTCCCATCATGATCCTTGCGACAGCCATTAAAGAGGAAGATAGGAGCGTAGCAGAAACGTTGGGTCGCATACAGCAACCTTCCACAAGGTCACCCAACGGGGTGCCAACTTCTTTCAGGGTGCACCTCTCTTGGCTAGTTTATACCCATTGTCGTCATAACGCCCCACACAGAAAAAAACGCTTTCACAAGTCAGAGCAATCGACTATCGATGAGTTTTATGCACAACTCAACTCGCCGCCATAAAGACTGGTCTATCTGCGTAAAGCCACCTGTCGAACATTCTGCAGTAATCTATATGTTACCTCAGCAAACCACGAGGTTCGACTCCAAGGTGGTCACATAGGATAGTCGAAACATAAGGGCCAGTGGCTCCATGCATAGAGTCAATTAACACCTCAAATCGTTTCCCAGTGAGCTGACCAGAGATAAGTGATTTGATCTGAAATGAAATATGAAATTGGGGGTGAAAGTTCATGGAACAAGAACCACTGAGTACAACTCTAAGTAGAAGCGCTGTGGAAGACTTGTAAAAGAGGACATCAGTAAACTGGGATCTCTGAGAAAGCTCAACAAAGACTTGTCTCCCACGAACAAAAACCCACCTGTCGCTATAGTCAACCTGCGCGAATGACCTACTTCAAACAGATTCCAAAATTCAGACTTAAAATACCTTCCACCAAATATTCGGCAATCCACCTTTTAACTCCGTAGCAAACGTTCCTACTCAGCAAGAGTATGACTCTACGGTCCCCTACAAGATCCCTGATCCAGGCGGTCTCTTTTCCGTTTTCTCTGGTTGCGGATTCGCAGATGAATATGACTCACAGTGAGCAAAAGGTGGGCGGAACCGTCAAAAACGCCGAAAAATAAACCACAGCATTGAACGAATCTTCAAAACGCGAGACAGTGTCCGAGGGCGAGGGACCATAGACAACGGGTGATAGAACAGGAAAACGAGCGAAACGACGAAGGTGGGTCACGAAGAACGAACGCAACACGCAGTGATTGTACAGCAGTGATTTTTGCTCATGTCAAAACACCCCCTTTGGAAGCATCATTGGACCAATTTATCTTTTAAAGACAGCTCCCGCGATAAAAGTCTCATGGATAGCTGCTTTCCAATTATGAAACAGTAGCTGATAAGTAATCTCCCAAAGAAGAAAACAGGCAAGAAGCGTTCTCCAGAACAACATAAACAAAATCGCTCCCTCACAGTTACACCTCCCTGCGGTCTCTGTGCAGCCCCTAGCTCACAAATCTCTCTATCACATCTCGCAGTAGTTGATATCATCTAGTGCAAAAGAAAGAATACAAAAAGAAAACAACAAAACGCAGAGGAAAAACTCTGGGAAGGAAAAAGGAATTTTATCAACACGGTGTCTGAATTTGTGATTACGGTAGCGCACCTTTTGTGCGTCGTGGTTTTGCATCACGAAAATTGCGTCACTCGTGTTTTTTACGCGTTTCACCTCGCGAAATGGGTTGAATTGAATGTATATACCTCCAATGAGTAAACTGTAATGAAGGAGAGCAGAATTATCCAGGGGCATTAGCAATGCCCGCCGCCCCAACTAAGAACAAGTGAGTGGCCTCCGTCGGAGGACATCTAGCAAGTAAAGGCGGTCCGACTGAGGAGGAGTTAGAACTAGCACTTTGAGCGGCTATAGCAGCCTCCACGCTCACAATAGAGTCGCGAAAGGTGAACAGTCTTCTAGCTTGGAGGCTAGACTACTTGCACAGCAAAGGCGACCACGAGCCACTTTGATCGCGGGGGCTGTCTTTAACAAGACTGGGCTTCTACCATGGAGGCAAAACCACGTCAAAGATATGGCGCACATAAGTTTTCGTCACCCAACAGATGTAGGACGCTTACATATGTTGTTCAGAATGAAATACACCTTCGCCTTGTAATGTTCCGCAGTCATTCCAGGAACTGTGGAGGCCGCAAGGGTGGAACAGCCTCTGACTGCATACCAAACTAGTTGGGCAAGGGTACTCAAATCAGGTAATCGCAAAACTGGTTTCCAACCCTCGGAATACATATCTTTGAGCACACGAGCGTCCCACAGAGCTCACCCCTAGATTGTGCCACTCCCATTCGCATGAAGCGTGAAACAGATCATGTAGTTTATAGCTTCCAGTTTCACATGACCAATCGGTAGCGAAGCGAGGAGATGCCATTTTACACGCAGGATTATCAAAGACGCCCAGGGCCTTGCCTCGCCATTCCCGTCGGCTGATTCCCAGTAATGAACCCTATGACTCTACAAGAGACACTGAATGCATCCACTCCATGATACTTGCCCGGGAGCATTACTTTTGGCTGGAAGGCCGACTTTGGAGGCGGAGTCACTGGAAAAAGGGATGTACCACTGAAGCAACCTTGCGCCTTTACCCCTTACCGTACAACTTTCCGCTCCAGCAACTGTGGTCGCCTAGCGGCTCTCACTAAACGGTCTGCTCCGGTGCCGCGCCAAACAGCCCCCCCCCCCCCCTCCCCCGGCGGCAACAGGTTAAGATAGGCATTGATCAATTTGTTCCACTGGAAAGCATCTTCTGAAGAAGGTGCAATGAGCAGGTTAGGCGGGACCAATCAATTCTCACAGCGTAGCCGCTCATCTCGACTGGACAATTTTCCCAAGTCGCAGATTTGCCTAGCGAGCCCTGTGGAAATCGCTCTAACTTCCTTATCGCGCCCTATTGAGGGATGAAAGAGGGATCTTCATAAAGGCGTAGAAGGTTTCAAAAGGCACGAAGTCATTTTGAGGACCACTTGATCGCGGGGAGTGTCTTTAACTCGTCCTCAACGACGATATGAGGGTTGACTTTATAATAAACAGTCATTAGTCACCTGTTGATCTCGCTTTGTAAAGAACCACTGAACCACCCCACAGCTCCTTTGAGAGAGATGTACTACATAAAGTGAAAAAGCATACCTTCCCAAAGTCGAAGATTTTTTGCATTAGCTCCACATAGTCTTTCACAGAGTCAATAACGTCTACCACAAAAGGACCAACATTTTCTATGTCGAATTCAGTTCTGAAAGGAAGAGACTTTACCAGTCATAAACAAGAACTTGTTACGAAGCTAACCTTCCAATTTGGGAGAAATCACACTGCAAATCAGGGCAGATCGAGTAGGTGGATATATGTGTTGTGTTAGCATATATGGCATTTGTTACCTTAAATTCAACAAATAACATCTCAGCCTTCTCATGATTTATGACACAGTTTAACTAAAGATAAACAGTAGAATCGATTAAAAATTCGACATTCTTATTATGTTACAGTCATCTAGAACGCGCAACTTCAGGTATGGCGATTCCATCGTGGCTCGCCACAGTGGTGGGCGTGGTCTGCGATGTCACAGCCTTTGCGTACGAGCTGTCCTGTCTTCGTTCATATTATTATATGCATAGATCCTTTTATTACTCTGAGAAACACGCCGAGAAACAGGGAAAAC